CTTATTCCACTGAGCCATCTCCCCAGCCCCTTGTCTCAAAATTTAACAATGGAATAAGCAAGGCTGGGGATGTAGCTCAGTGTTAGCATATTCTCAAGTTTGATCTGCACTCCTAAGGGGGGAAAAAAAAGATTCCTGAAAATTACTAAGAAAAAAATAAGGGCCCGGGGAGATGGCTCAGTAGAATAAGCGCTTCCCTGGCAAGCGCAAGGGCCTGAGTTCAATCCCCGGTTCCGCAAATAAATAAATAAATAAATAAAAAGTAATCCAATAGAAAAAAATAGGTAAAATTCAAAAAGAGACATTTCACAGAATAAATGTTCACATCAAAAGAGGAAGAGTTGGCCAACTTCATTAATAATGAAATGAAAAACATGATCATCGGGGGCTGCGGAGATAGCTCAGTAGTGTAAGTGCCTGCCTGGCAAGCACAAGGTCCTGAGTTTGATCCCTGGTACAAAAAGAAAGAAAGAAAGAAAGAAAGAAAGAAAGAAAGAAAGAAAGAAAGAAAGAAAGAAAGAAAGAAAGAAGGAAAGAAAGAATTACGATAATAGGAATATATGACTTCACATCTGCCAAGCTGACAAAACCTTAAAAGCCTGAACAGTGCCAAGTAATGGCCAGATTGCAGAGTGGTGGCATGACCTTCCATTATTGGCATTAACGTGAACACTGGGAGAGAGTGAGTTCACCTAACAGCTCAGGAACAGCATGCACGGACACACATCAGGGTGCATCTCATCTTCACTGCAGCATTTGGGTGGGGAAAGTTGGGAGAAAATAAGTGATTCGAGCGTCCACCTACAGGAGAGGGGACAGCTGCATATTACATACGTGGCATATGCGTGTAATGCTGGACAGCAGAGGGAGGATTAACACACCACACTTGTGGTAGCTCATGTGGTGTCAGCTCGGTTAAGCAATGCCTGGCTGGTTTAGCACAGCGCTGGGTGAGCAGCACACAAACGCCTCCCTCCACAGTCTGCCAGGGTACTTCAATTTCTGTTAGTTGCCCAGGCAACCTCCAGTTTACTTCAGCTCCTGTTACAGTTCCTGTTTCTTAGAAACAGCTGACCATTATGATGCATGGTTGGTCACTATGATGTACACTGTAAGAACCAATCAATAACCACCAGGTCCTCTGCTTCTGTACTTCCTGCTTGCTTATCCCATATAAGCACCAGACTACCAAGGATCAGACCTGACATCTTGTAGAAGGATTGATCCCTTGTCTGTGCCCATTCACTTAAATAGATCTGCCTCCAAGTCCTGGGTGATGTTTCAGTGTTTCTGTTTGCTGTAGCTGGTGGAGCTGGATGATGCACTTACTGGGAGACAAGCTCTGCCCTGGGCGTGGGCGACGCCAACCAATAGGCTTGCAGTCTGGATGGAATAAAAAGGGAAAGAAGAAAACCTCGCTGCTGATTCTTTTTTTTTTGTGTGTGGGGGTGGGGAACATCGCTGCTGATTCTTTAGAGGAGCCCTAGTCTTCACCACTGCATTTGGACGTTCATCTCTAGGCTTCCAGGGCAGACTTCAATTTCCTATTTGGACTCTCACCAGAGTCCGCAGTGAGCTCCTGGCCTTTGATCTTTAACTGAGTACTTTGGATCTCCAGCGGGCAGATGAACCCTTCACATTCTCACACCTGACTCTGCAGCAGCCCATGGAAAGCCTCCCTTGTAAATCTGATGAATATTATACCCTGTACATATAATGGTAAATCTGGGCCGGGGAGATAGCTCAGCGGCATAAGCACCTGCCTGGCAAGCAAAAGGTCCTGAGTTCCATCCTGGGTACCAAAAAAAAAAAAAGTAAATCTGTTCCTCTAGTGAACTCCTCTAGTCATGGGGGTGGGAAGCAAAACTAAATTTGTTTAAAGTAATACATCTATACAGGGTAAAACTATGTTTTAGAAAATGAGAAACAAAGGAACATTGAAGCTCAAACCCAGAGTACACAGTGCAGGGCAATACCCAGAGACTGTAAGGTACTGTTCGTGGGCTCTGTCAGAAGCTGGCTAGTAATGGTTTGAGCAGTGTTTTATCCATGTTATTTAAGCTGTACGTTTGCACTATCTGCAATCTTTTGTGAGCATGGCTGGTCTCCAGTGTACACACATGTTTGTGGATGCACAAAGACCTGTAAGTCAGGTCATGTGGCCTCCAATGTTATTTTAAGTGAGTCCACATTTAAATGATGAATGAAATAGAGGGCCAGCGAGATAGCTCAGCGGGGACCGGGGAGATGGCTCAGTGAAATAAGTGCTTCCCCGGAAAGAGCAAGGGCCTGAGTTCAATCTCTAGTTCTGAAGAGAGAGAGAGAGAGAGAGAGAGAGAGAGAGAGAGAGAGAGAGAGAGAGAGATAGCTCAGAGGACTAAGTGCCTGCTTTGGCAAGCACAGAGACCAGGGTTTGATCCCCAGTCCTGCATGCCTTGCTGGCCCCGCCCCTGGGGCATGCTGCGCCAGCTACCTAGTCTGGGCATGGTGTTGCACACCTGTAATCCCAGTGCTGGGGAGGCTGAAAACAGGAGGATCATTATGAGTTTGAGCTGCAAAGTGAGACCCTGTGCCAAAATATATAAAATGAAAAAAAAAAGTATAAAAACAAATGAAATAGAAACCACTGCAGAAGACAACTGAACTGGCACCATGCCCAGAATGTTTTCCTACCTCTTGCGGTCTGGCTGTAGAGTATTTGTGCTTCCCATAGTGCCGATAGTCCACCATGTAGGAGCTCTGGTAGATGTCTAAATCCACAGGGCCCTGAGGACAGAAGAGAATTCGAAAGAGGAGCTGCATCTTGTCATTGTTTTACATAAAGCTACTGGCTTACTTCTCACTCTTTCTAGGACAAAGGCCAACTAGGGTGGCATTAGGAGCCCCCAGAACATGGCTTTTTCCCCTGAGACCACTGCCCTTGCCCTCTGTCTACACTTAGGTCTTCCTGCCTGGCATGGGCTCTGAGTTCCTGAGCAACACAGACGTCCCATGTATCTTTTCCAGACCCAGATTCACTGTCCTACCCCCGCTTTTGTTCTCTACCTTCTAAGAATTGACCCCTTTCCCCCTGCTTTGGTTGTATTGTATTTTTTGTCGTTGTTGTTGTTGAATTGGTTTTTTAGGAGAGGTTTATTTTTTGGTTTTGGTGCCAAGGACCGAACCCAGGGCTTCCAGCTTGCTAGGCAAGTGTTCTACTGCTCAGCCAAATGCCCAGCCCCTCCCCTCTTCTTTGGTAGCAGAGTTTGCAGCCTCTGTGGCAGCGTGTACCGGAGTGAGTGGGGAAGCAGTTGCTGAGTTACACTGGACTGAGTGACATCTTATGTTTGACACCTCTGCAAGTCCAAAGTCCAACACAGATGAGGGCCCACTGTGGGGGCCTAATGCATGCATGCTAAATCAAAACTAAAAAATAAAAACCCAGGGCACTGAAAACACTTAGCTTTCCTTTGATTATTGAAAACAAAAATCATTCTACAACAATGAGCAGATGGCACCCCAAAGAGCCTAGCCCTCCCCTTCTTGCTGAGGCTGCTTGGCCCTGAGACTGTCACAGGGGATAGAGACCCACAGCACTCACCTGTTTGGGGTACAGCACACCTGCCATGGCCAAGGACCTAGACAAACAAGCTGGTTATCCCTGCTCTCTCACAAGCAGGCGAAGCAGCTGCCATAGCCAGAGCTGTGCCAGCCAAACACAGCAGTCTTGGTCCCCTTTGCCCACTCGGCCCACCTGCCCCTGGTCCCACCCTGCACATTGCCCTGGCGTCCAGGATTGGAGGAGGCTCAGGAATAGAAAGGCCAGTGGATTGAGACCCCTAGACAAAGAGAATGCAGTGGAATTCAGGGGAGGTTAAGGCTCTTATTCATTTATTTATTTTTATTTTTATTTTTATTTTTTGTGGTACAATTCAGGGTCTTATGTTTGCCAGGTAGGCACTTATGCTGCTGAGTTATCTCCTTGGCATGTGGGTTTACGGCTCTTAAAATATCAGCTTTTTGGCAAACACAAGCCCTGGTTTCACAGTATCCACTGATGCCTGGGTGTAAGTACCCCCAACACCACAGAGGGTAAGGCACACAGGAGGAGGAGAGGGGGCTCTCCTGGGGACACAGGGTCCCCTGCAGCCCAGAGGAATAAACAAGGCCCAGGCAGAGGCTTGGCGTCCTCAGCTTGGGAACAGAGGTGAGGAATGCATTCCGCAAACAGCGAACCCCGCCCTGGGCCGCCCTCTGTTCTGCAGGCCGCCCCAGCAGGATAGTGGCCTGACCTCAGGGGCCCATGTGGTCACCTGCTTTCTGTGCACGCAGAGCTCCTCTCTCAGGCAGGTGGGGGCCAGCTGCAGTGCAGTCACTGCTTGTCCAAGCCAAGGCTGCTTCTGCCCTTCCAGCCCAGCTGTCCCTGCTGCTCTGTGATGGTCCCCTTGCCGTGTCCCGCAGCTGTCACAGAGATGAGCTGACTTGTGTGAGGCTGTTCTGTCACAGGCCCTGGGCATTGTGATGTGGGCGCTAATCCACTCCCTGGCCCAGGCTTTCCCTCTGCTCATCCTGGCCCTGCTCCACCAGAGGTCAACCTTGAAAACCCTGTGCTAAGCCAGAATGGAGCAGCCATGAGTGATGTGTGATTCGCCTGAGATGGGCTCCCTCGGTGGGCCAGGCTCAGAAAGACAGATCGCAGAAGGCTACCAGGACTTGGGGAACGGGGACAGGAGAGGAGGCTTCGTGGGCACGGAGTTCCAGCATGAAGATGACAAAGTCCTGGAAATGGGGGATGGGGATGGTTGCCCAGCAGCAGCGCGAATGCACTTAGTGCCACCCCGCTGCATGCTTCAAAGTGGTCAATTTATTTATCAGATGCTGCACCATTGAGCTAAATCCCAGGCCCCCTCAAAATGGTAAATGTAATCTTCCGATGAGCCATGAAAAAGCATTCACCCTCCTGCAGGCTGCCTCGTCCAGGAAGCTTTCCCCCTCTTACCTGAGCCCGCATACGCCATCCGTGTCCCTAGCAGTATCTCCTGAGCGCTTGCTCTGTGCCCCACGCTGCTCTGAGCCTCACAGACACCGACACTGTGAGCAGGAGACGCGGCCAACAGAGGACTCCTTCCCTTTACGGCCCCATCAGTGGGCAGTGCTGGCCCATGGCAGCTCTTCTTGGACTCGCAGCCACCAGATTTCCACCTGAGAGCCACAATAGCAATAAAGGAGAAGCCTCTGCCCCAAGCAAGGCTGATGAGCACCGCTCCCATGCGCAGGAAGGACCCTCTCTTTCTGAGACAATGGGAATAAGACCCTGCGAGCCTGGGGCCCACTAGGCGCAAAACCAGCACGGAGAAAAAGACTCACACCTGAAGCTTGACAAATGCCTCTACTTTGCAGCACATGTAGGCCAATTCATCCCTTGTCATGCTAAGCCAATTGCAGTGCAGTGTTTCTAACTTCTGGCTGAAACAGTCCTAACCGTTTTAAGACTGAGAGCTGAAGCGACTGACTTCTGAGATGTGACTGACATTCAGAGATGTCATCTGCTCTTGGGGTGAGCAGAAATGGTACGCCTATGGTGGGGACTTGTGACTCTGTTTCTCCTGACACTCAGCTGTCATTTTATTTTGAGGTAGAGAGTAAACCCAGGATAGCCCAGTGTGGCGGCGCATGCCTGTAATCCCAGCACTCAGGAGGCTGAGGCAGGAGGATTGCTGTGAGTCTGAGGCCAGCTTGGGCTACAAAGTGAGACTGTAAAAAAAAAAAAAAAAAAGAAAGAAAGAAAGAAAGATAGAAAAAGAAGGGGGTGGGGTGGGGAGATGGCTCAGTAGAATAAGCGCTTCCCTGGCAAGTGCAGGGTCTGAGCTCAAATCCCGATTCTGCAAAAGAAAAAAAGAAAAAGAAAGAAAGAAAGAAAGGGCCAGGGAGATAGCTCAGTAGAATAAGTGCTTGCCTGGCAAGTGCAAGGTCCTGAGTTCAATCCCCAGTACTGAAGAGAGAGAGAGAGAGAGAGAGAGAGAGAGAGAGAGAGAGGTACCTGATGTAGGCTGCAGTTACAATTATCACAAGGGCCATGGGGGAGGAAAATAGGCAGAGATGTCATCTGCTCTTGGGGTGAACAGAGAGGGTTTGCCTATAGTGGGGATCTGTGACTCTGTCCTATATGAGACAGAGAGTCCCACTCCAGGCTAGGGCTCAGCAGAGACAAGTGCAGCTCTGGGTGAGGCTGGACAGGGCAGGAGGGACCTTGACTTCATCTGGAATCCCACTGCTTCTGCTTGCTGGTGTGGCTGTGCCAGGCGGGTAGAGGTGTCCATGGCTCTGCAGAGAAGCGGGCACCTGCAAGAGGGTTTGAACGTGGACTGGCAGGACTGACTCAGTACCAGGAAGCGGCAGGGCCAGGTCCAGGGAGGCGGCTCCGGAGCCCAGGCTCTGAGGGAGCTGGTGGTGCCTGTGCGCCTCTGGGCAGGCTTCCGCGGGGGGTGGGGGTGGGACTAGCGTGGGAGTGGGAGCCGCAGTCTGAGCGTGCTGGGGGCCACACGGCCCTTGCTGTGCCTCCCCTGCTGCGGTGCGTTTCTGCAGGGCTTCCAGGCTCCACGGTAATGGCCTGCAGAAGCAGCTGGGCGCTGGCCACACCCAGGGCAGGCGGCCTCCGAGTCCTCGAGTCCTCGATGGGACCTGGGATGCGTGGGAGCACACTTCCTTCACCAGGACCGCAGCGTCCTCGCTGTCGTAAGCTCACACCCAGAGGTGCAAAGCACCACACCTGCTTAGTTTGTGCATCTTCCAACCGCAGCACACCTTGTGCGAAGAGACAGTGCAGCTAAACATTTCCCAGGCTCCTGTTTGATTTAACACTATGGGGGGGGGGAAGCTTTTTTCACATTTGTAAGGAATAAAAATAAACCAGTATTGTTCTGTTTTTAAGTTTCAGTCATATAGCCAGGCATAATGGCACAAGCCTGTAAGTCCAGCATTGAGGGAGGCTGAGGCAGGAAGACCACGAGTTCAAGCCTAGCCCTAGTAACTCCGTGAGGACTTGTCTCAAAATTAAAAAGAAAAAAGGGCTGGGGCTGGAGCACAGCGTGAAAGCCCTGGGTTCCATCTCCTGTACTAAAGAAAAAAAAAAAAAAGTTTCAATCATGTTACGTAAATTGTAGGGTACGATGAGCTAATTATGTTTCTCCGAGAAAACGACATGGGCAGTGAAGCACGGTTACATTAACATGAATGATACAGTTAAGAGGAGGCAAAAAGAGGCGTGGCCAGGAGCCAACAACCGGTGTGGACAAAGCTTCCGAGGCGAGCCCAGGAACATCCTTCTGCAGCCCTCCTCTCCGGCCTCCCGCACTGACTGTGCAGACCCCTAAGCCCCGCCTCCTTTGGACAGCAGTCAGATAGCTTGCGGGCCAGAACGTAGACCGCGGGCGTGAACAGGTGCAGTCCGTCGCTGGGCTCCTCCGCTGAGCGGTGCGAGCTCGGAAAAACCCTAGCCCTGCAGCCTAAACTCGCATGCTATCCCTCCGACCTGGGGAGTCTATGCAAATAGACCCACAGGGAGGAATTCTTTTTACTGGAAGCCCCGCCCCCCAAGTTCCTCCAGGTTTATATTAAAGGGATTACAATCCATTTCCTTCCTAATACGGCTAATGCGCCATGGGAAGCCTCCAGGCCAGCGATTAAAGCATTTACGCCTTTAATTAGGAGCAACCCTCTCCTTAGTGCCCCGAAATGCAAACAAGGAGCCGACACTACAAAGCCTGCGGCCAGTGCAGTCGGGCGGCGCTGCCTCTCCAGGGGCCTGGAGCCCGCGGGGCTGAGCACATAGCGCCGCCCCAGGAGAAGGGCGCCAGCGAGCGCAAACAAACAAAGATCCGACCCTCGACCCTCCAGTCAATTCAAGATCAGCTGGTTACACAGCAGGCCAGATCTCCTGGTTAGAGGGCCCCGTGGCTGGAGGGTACAGGGACCCTGCACTGTTGCACAGCAGGGAGTCCTTCGCTGTCCCCGCGTTCACGCCTGCCTCCACTGGTTCCACAAGGCCGGCACTGTGATCTCGTCCGAGTGGGTCACCTGGGATGAGGCTGTGGGGGGCAGGGGGCCTCAGCTTTACTGTCGCCTGGGCCACACTGACATTCTGAGTACTGTGGATGCCTTTCTGTGTCAGAATCTCAGGGAGATAGAGCCAACTCCATGGTCGCTTTGGGCAGCTTCCCTGGTGATTCTTGGAAATGAGGGGAATCCGGTGCTTGGAAGAGGAGGCAGCAGCTCACAGAGGAGGGAGCTGGGCCCAGAGCCTCGCAGGGCTTGGAAGGAAGCCTGGGCCAGCAGGGACGCTTGCTAGGCCATACGCATGCGCCCTACGGGAGAAAGCGTGCCAAAGAACCGGGTTAAGAACTCAGGCCCCTGCAGGGTAAGGTGGTGCTTGCCTGTAATGGCTGTATTCGGGAGGCCAAGGCAGGAGGATTGCCATGAGTTTGAGGCCAGCCTGGGCTACATAGCAAGACACTGTCTCAAAAACAAAACAAAACACAAAAAAAGAACTGGAGCCTTTTGCTTAACCACTCAGAGCGCATGCACAGCATGTGGCAGGCCCTGTTATCCCTGGGGGATACACCCCCAGCCCCCAATGGATGCCGAAAATCACAGCTAGAACCCAGCCCTACACGCGTGGTTCTCTATGCATAGTGATGATACACAGTAAGATATTAAAAATAATAAAATAAATAACAATATGTTATAATATTAGCAATAACGATGTTATAATAAAAGTGATTTCCAGTTAATATTTTGGTTGACCATTGGGGACTGAAACCATAGGAAATGTAATGATGGATAAGCAGGGACAGTGACGTTGGAGGGGGAGACGGCCTTGGGACCAGGAGTGTGTGTGCCTGAGACAGGAAGGGGTGTTGGAGAGATGATGGTTAAAGATGGAAAATACGAGAATCTTGCCATCTGGCACTTTACAAAATGACAAGGGAGAGGACAGAGTAAGTACCCACAGGGCTGAGTGACAGGTAGGGGGCATCAGTGCTGAGTAGACCGAAGAAATGGCAGAGCAGGGGCAACGATGGAAGCAGCATCCTCTTGTTCAAAAGAGGCCCCTCCCTGAAGGCTCGGCCACTTCCTGACGTCCAAGGAGAACCACTTCCGGTCTACTCACGCTTTTCTCTCAATAGCAAGACACTCCAGCAGACATTTGTCACTTGAGGACACTCCTGTGACATTGTTTAATTGTACACAAAGATTTTTTTTTTTTTTTTCCGGAACCGGGGATTGAACTCAGGTCCTTGCGCTTTCCAGGGAAGCACTTATTCCACTGAGCCATCTCCCCGGCCCGATTTTATTTAATTTAATTAATTTATTTATTTGTG